AGATTTATTGACTACATTTAAGAAGTTTTCAATTGATAAGATATGATTTTTTGCAGTATAAACCCTATATTTAATTGAAAATAGTACAAAAACAACATATGTTGAAACTGAGAAATTTTATTGCTTTTTGAAAAATATATGCCCATTTTCCTGTATGCCACTATATTCGAATAAATACAGGATTTAAATGATTTGCACATCATGTTATTCTGATTTTTTTACATTTTTGAAAACAGGATTGTATGTTTATTTATTTATCAGTGTTTGTAAACAGCACAGTCAGTACCCTTCAGATATAGTCTCATGATCTGATGGGAAACGTCCTCCCAGCTCCTGAGGCATCTAACAGGAACTGTGCTGAAGTATATTTAGGTCCACCATAAAGTTGATGCTTCCACCAAGCGTAGCTTTGAATATTTATAAGCTTTGCTTGCGTTCAGAAATATCCAAAGGGTCCCAGATCAGATTACAAGACGTTTAAAAGTAGAAAGCAGCGACAGCAACGACCACACAAGTGCGTATCAGCTGTGTTTAAAGGGGCCTCTACACTGTATATGCTGTTACAGCATGTTTAACTCATTAAATAACCAGCAGGGTCCAGACTTGCAGTAATCAGAGAGATTCAGAGTGGTTTGGTGTGAAATGGTTCAGATCTCTTTACAGTGGTGGTGATAGAAACCAGGAGTTGCCATGACTACAACACAAATATAGCCGTTTTATTTACTATCCAAAACCACCAGTGAACCTACACGAGTCCTCTGAGTTTATATGGAATGTTGATGGTGGGAAAATAGTGGAAAGTCTGGAAAAAGGTTCCTATTTAGAGGTGGACGTCTGGTTCCTATCACCACCACTGTGAACAATTCTAACACGGTAAGTTTCTCTAGAACAGCATTTCACACCAAACCACTCTGAATCACTCTGTTTACATCCTAATCCTCTATTGCTCAGTGTTGCCATATGACAACAATTACTTTATCTCAATTTTACTAAAAAGCAGTGATATAAGATCTGTGTTCTCCTATTTAATTGTTGAAAAAGGGTCTTTTACTTTAAAAGGAAAAACACTTCATATTATAAATTATATTTACTTCTTAATTCTTATTATGATATTGTTATTACCGTACATTGCAAATACCAATTGAAATCGTATTAATTTCTAATATTGGTACATTTTGGGTTGTACATTTCCCCAAGTATAAGTTGGATTTGTTTGGTCTTGTTTTCAGGTAAAGGGTTTTTTTAGAGAAAAAAATTTAGATTTTATGGTGCTAGACTTTATCATGCTAAGGTATGGCTGCACATTGTTGCCATATGGCAACAACCTACTAAATACTCCACTTTAAAAAATTAAATAACAATAACACATTAAAACATTTTTATCATGTGTAAGTAATAATTCATGCAATAGAGGGTTAATCTTTTAATTATGGGGTAATTTTGACAAAAGGGGTGGACTTCCCCTTTTAAGAATAAGTCAGTAAGTTTACATTGTTTTTCATATGCTGAATGTTAAAGGGGAATTCCACCAAATTTTTTTAGATTTTCTGCATAATTTAATCACTGGGATGTAAAGTCATTCAGAGTGGTTAGGTGTGAATGTGATCTCCCTCCTACAGGCTGTGAAGCCTGCCATTTGTAATTCGGCACATTTTGAATTTAAACTACATTTTGATGACCATGTAATCAGTCTATCATATCAAATTAATATCATATATTTATTAGAAAATATATAAGATCTATAACAATGTATATGTAAAATATATAAGATGCAATTTGGTAATCTGTTATAACCGGGAACTATACACCGATCAGGCATAACATTATGACCACCTCCTTGTTTCTACGCTCATTGTCCATTTTATCAGCTCCACTTACTATATAGGTGCACTTTGTAGTTCTACAGTTACAGACTGTAGTCCATCTGTTTCTCTGATACTTTGTTAGCCCCCTTTTACCCTGTTCTTCAGTGGTCAGGACCCCCATGGACCCTCACAGAACAGGTACTATTTGGGTGGTGGATCATTCTCAGCACTGCAGTAACACTGACGTGGTGTTGGTGTGTTAGTGTGTGTTGTGCTGGTCTGAGTGGATCAGACACAGCAGTGCTGCTGGAGTTTTTAAACACTGTGTCCACTCACTGTCCACTCTATTAGACACTCCTACCTTGTCGGTCCACCTTGTAGATAAAGTAAAATCAGAGACGATAGCTCATCTGCTGCTGCACAGTTTGTGTTGGTCATCCTCTAGTCCTTCATCAGTTGTCACAGGACGCTGCCCACAGGACACTGTTGGCTGGATATCTTTGGTTGGTGGACTATTCTCAGTCCAGCAGTGACACTGAGGTGTTTAAAAACTTGAATACTTGTGTGCTGATGTTTGTGATCAGTCTGACAACAGAAACCTGAACCGGCGTGAGAGAAACGCTTTAGTCAGAGGATTATTTGTACCAATTACTCACACTAATAAAGTCACTCCATCACAGCTGTTTAATTTAGTTCACTCTAAAAGTCAAAACCACAATGGTGGTTTAAATAAAAATGAATAATAAAAATGAATGTGTAAACTTTGTAATATATAAGAAATCTTATGTTATATTTTTAGGGCTTTTGAACTCGTTATATGACTTTATCATGCATGTTAATGACGTCAGTGAGAGCAAAATGCTTCAGTCAGCCAATGAGCTGCCCCGCTCACCAGTCAATCAGCAATCAGTAGCAGCAATGTTAACCAATAATGTTGACCAATCAGTGCACAGTAGCAGTTATGCTGACCAATCAACACTCAAAAGCAGTAATGCTGACCAATCCGCACTCAGTAGCAGTAATGCTGACCAATCAGCACTCAGTAGCAGTAACACCAACCAATCAGCACTCAGTAGCAGTAATGCTAAACAATCAGTACTCAGTAGCAGTAATGCTAACCAATCAGCACTCAGTGGCAGCAACGCTAACAAATCAGCACTTATTAGCAGTAATGTTAACCAGTCAGCACTCAGTAGCAGTAATACTAACCAATCAGCACACAGTAGCAGTAAAGCTAACCAATCAGCACTCAGTAGCAGTGATGCTAACCAGTCAGCACTCAGTAGCAGTAATGCCAACCAATCAGCACGCAGTAGCAGTTATGCCAACCAATCAGCACTCAGTAGCAGTAATCCAAACCAGTCAGCACTCAGTAGCAGTAATGTTAGCATCCCACTGCACTAAAACTGTTTGATGTAGAAAAGGAAGTATACATATAGGTTTTCTTTGTTGTTTTAGTGAAATAAACCCTTCTAATTTTTAAAATTAAAGCAAAGTCCTGGCCAAATGGTGAGGAACTATTTTGACCTTTTATTTTAGTGGCGCCCTCTGCTGTTCTGCAGTCTTTCTTTTTGATATAACAGCAGAAGGAGGAAGTGGCAAGGCTCCCCTTGAACTGGCAAATAATCTTGTTTTCCTGACATCACAAGAAACAGGAAGTCAAAACGCTGTTTTTGCAGCGAGCGAATGGTATGTTTTGAAACTTTACACATCAGATCAAAATTTTTTGTTTCAATAAAGGGAAAAGAAAATTCAGTTTTCCATGATATGGCCCTGTAAATGCTGTTCATATAGACTGGCAGTTAAAACTCATCCCTGACTGACTATGAGCAAAAAAGGCCTAACTCAAGAACTGTTCTCCTTTAATTGTTCTTTTTGCTCTGTATTTATCAACAAGGGAGCCCCTAAGGTGACATGGTGATCATTTTTTAATAAGGTGTGGCCTCAAATAAATATATTGATACCACAAATTAGTATATTGAGAACCCAAATTCATGTATTGAGGCCACGAGTTACATTTCTTATAACTTCTGGCCTTAATATTGTAATTCATGGCTTCACAATAGTAATTTGTGGCCTCAATACAGTAATTTGTGGCCTCAGTATAGTAAATAGTGTCCCCAGTATAGTAATTTGTGGCCTTAATATAGAGAATTGATGCCTTTAATATAGTAAATTGTGGTCTCTGTATAATAATTTGTGGCCTCAATGTAGTAAATCGTAGCCTCAGTATAGTAAATGATGGCCTCAATATAGTAATTTGTGGCCTCAATATAGTAAATCAAGGCTTTAATATAGTAAATCTTGGCCTCAATATATTAAGATGTGACCTCAATATAGTAATTTTTTGCCTCAATATATGAAATTCTAGCCTCAGTACAGTAATTCATGGCCTTAATATAGTAAATGGTGGCCTCAGTATAGTAATTTGTGGCCTCAATATACCAATTTACGGCCTTATTATAGTAAATCGTGCCCTCAGTGTATTCATTTGTGGTTTCAATGTAGTATTTTGTGGCTGCATTACAGTAAATTGTGGCCTCAATATAATAATTTGTTGCATAAATATATTCAATTTTAGTCACAGTATAGCAGTTCATGGCCTTAATATAGAAAATTTTGGCCTCAGTATAGTAATTTGTGGCCCAAATATACCAATTTATGGCCTCATTATAGTAAACTGTGGCCTCATTATAGTAAATCGTGCCCTCAGTTTATTTATTTGTGGTCTCAATATAGTATTTTGTGGCCTCAAACATACCTATTTGTGGCCTCATTATAGTAAATTGTGGCCACATTATAGTAAATCGTGCCCTTAATATAGAAAATCGTGGCCTCAGTATAGCAATTTGTGGCCCCAATATACCAATTTATGGCCCCATTATAGTAAATTGTGGCCTCATTATAAATCGTGCCCTCGGTTTATTTATTTGTGGTCTCAATATAGCATTTCTTGGCCTCAAACATACCAATATGTGGCCTCATTATAGTAAATCGTGCCCTCAATGTATTAATTGTGGCCGCGCCTTATTAAAAATGATCACAATGTCACCAGAGGGGCTCCGTAACATTTATTTATTTATTTATTTATTTATTTAAGTATATCGTCCATTCGGGTTTTCCATGAGCGGAACACGTGATGGGGCTGAACGGCGGAGGTTATAAATAGGGCTGCAGCTCATCTCGACTGCGCAGAGGGACAGAATGGCGTCGACCAGCCGGTGAGTTCACAGCGGAGCGTTTTATTACTCAGCCCGAAACCGTTTTATCCCTCCAGGACGTTCAGACACGCGACGGTTCTACCTCAGTGAATCAAGTCGTTTCGCTGAGGGTCTAAAATAAAGCTTTTTTTCCCCCCCATATCGGTGGTGAATGAGACGCATTGTGTGAGGAAAAATACTCCGTTCCACCTTAAATAGTGCAGCAACTGCTGCACCCTTTAAGGTGGACCGGAGAATTGGAGCGAGAAGCCTGCTTCAGCCTCGTTCGTGTGGGTCGGTTAGCTTCTGCTAACGCCGCTAAACGTTTCAAATATGGATTTGTCGCCGCTTCTGGTCGATTTTAGAGAATAAATTGAGTTGGCAAGATCACGTACAACTTCAAAACGCCAGGCTCGGGATCTTTCTGGAAAATTTGGGGCTTATTTGTTGGCCTGAAAGGCTAACGCTGCTAGCTAAATGTATTGTAGTCTATGGTTAGCTTGTTAGCATTCCAGCGTTTGCAAGCCGCCGAATTTGAACGTCGTTATTTTTGTATTTTGGAGCAGGGTAACGTTAAATGCTGGCATGCAGAGGAAAGATAATACAGTAATGGATGGTATACCAGCCGTGCTGTAGCGATAGGTAAGCAAATTTAGAAAATTTGTGCGTTATTCGTGCTTTAGCTTTAGCATTAGCTTTAGCTCCGCTTTTGGGGTTGCGATTTAAATACACGGAGCGCGATGTGATTCAGTGATGTAGGGCTTTAATTAGTGTAAATAATCAGGTGTTCACCTTCTGGCGGGATACGAAGCTGCTGTTTCTACATTTTTACACGAATTTAGCTCAGTTTGATTCGCGCTGAGAGCAGATAGGGGAGCTGAAAAGTGCCATGTCACAGACAGAGGGGTTAAAGGGGGATTCCACCAAATTCCATTTTCAAATTTTCTGAATAGTTCAGCCACTGAAGTAAACGGTCATTCAGAGTGGTTTGGTGTGAGACGGTTGATTGTAGAGATTCAGATTTCTTTACAGTGGTGCCGATAGGAACCAGGGGATCGCCATGACAACAACACAGATATAGACATTTTATTTACTATCCAAAACCACCAGTGAACCTATACGTGCCGTCTGAGTTTTGTTGATGGTAAAATAGTGGAAAATGTGAAAGAATAAGTTTTCTTTGGCGACTGTTTTGCCTTACGTCACCCTGCCTGTACCCCTCCCTCATGAATGGGTTAAAATAAATGGATTAACAAGATGTATTAGGTCAAAATGTTATTGCAAGACTGCCATAAAACAATCTCTGGCAGTGAATTCATAACCATTTCATGTAATAACTTTATGTGAGGGAGCTTTTAGAGGTGGATTTGGTTCCTATCACCAGCACTGTGAACAATTCCGACTAAGTTTCTCTAGAACAGAGCGTTTCACACCAAACTACTGTTTACATTTTAACCACCTAATTGTGTAGGAATTTTGAAAAATTGGTGGTGTTCCACTTTAAGCCACTGTTAAGTGATAAGAAAATAATTTGTACAAATAATGCTAACAGGTCTAGGAATGGCATTTTGAGTAGCATCTATCTATACATAAAAATGCAGCTCAAGGTGCTTCACAAAAATAAAAGAACAATGAAAAAAGGAGGGGAAAAAAGGCAAAAAGGCTGCTTGAAAGTTAAAATAAGTGTCGTATTTTTGATGTGAGGGGGCTGACAAACCTGCCCAGATACTTGAAGCATAAGTTTTTGTTTATTTAAACTAGTGATGTGTGCCTGTGTTATTGTAGGCCTCCTGTTTGTACTGTTCAGGTTTTTGTGATTCTGTCTCATAACTGACTGTATACCGAACCCTTCAGGCACAGTGCTGTGAACAGTACATACAGAGCCTCATTGACTTTCCATGGGTTGTAAAGCTGGTTGAATGGCTGTGAAGTGCCTTCTGGAGTTCATACATGCGTGTCAAAGACAAACAATTTTTTTTTAAACGCTTGCGGTTTAGTAAGCTCGCAGTCTCAGTATGTATTCGTGTAAGTAGATACAGATGTCTGTGTCACCAGACACCAGAAGTGGCTTCTGTGGATGGTGGGGAATGTTATGATTTGCATATAATTCCTTGCTAATTTACATAAAATGCTTGTGCAAGCAACGAAGGCAAAGATATGGGTGATTAAAAGCACCTACATACTGATAGGCCCCGAACACTGCAGACAGCATTAACAATAATACTTTCACTGGTCACTTGGGGTCAGTTTCTCAGACCCAGATTAAGCCTAAACTTGGATTAAAAAGAATTTCCAATGGTAATTCTCAAATTTAGTCCAACAGTAAGCTTAATCAATATCTGGGAAACCGGCGCTTGGTGTAATTGTGAAAGCAGAAGCTCATGGCTGCAAATCTAAAGTGTTTATGTTCGATATCTCATATATTAGTATACTGTGATATTGCTTTTCAGAGCATGATTAAATACTATAACTGACTGCCAAGCAGTAAATTTTAGCAGTAAAAAGGAAAATCTTAAACTAGATTTTTTTGAGAATGGTGTTGGGAAAAAAATGTAATCTGCAACGTCAGGCATAACATTATGACCACCTCCTTGTTTCTGCGCTCATTGTCCATTTTATCAGCTCCACTTACTATATAGGAGCACTTTGTAGTTCTACAGTTACAGACTGTAGTCCATCTGTTTCTCTGATAATTACTGACGTGGTGGTGGTGTGTTAGTGTGTGCTGCGCTGGTCTGAGTGGATCAGACACAGCAGTGCTGCTGGAGTTTTTAAACACCTCAGTGTCACTGCTGGACTGAGAATAGTCCACCAACCAAAAACATCCAGCCAACAGCGTCCTGTGGGCAGCGTCCTGTGACCACTGATGAAGGACTAGAGGATGACCAACACAAACTGTGCAGCAGCAGATGAGCTATCGTCTCTGACTTTACATCTACAAGGTGGACTGACAAGGTAGGAGTGTCTAATAGAGTGGACAGTGAGTGGACACAGTGTTTAAAAACTCCACTCCACTGATCCACTCGTACCAGCACAACACACACTCACACACCACCACGTCAGTGTTACTGCAGTGCTGAGGATAATCCACCACCCAAACAGTACCTGCTCTGTGAGGGTCCATGGGGGTCCTGACCACTGAAGAACAGGGTAAAAGGGGGCTAACAAAGTATCAGAGAAACAGATGGACTACAGTCTGTAACTGTAGAACTACAAAGTGCACCTATATAGTAAGTGGAGCTGATAAAATGGACAATGAGCGTAGAAACAAGGAGGTGGTCATAATGTTATGCCTGACGTTGCAGATTACATTTTTTTCCCAACACCATTCTCAAAAAAATCTAGTTTAAGATTTTCCTTTTTACTGCTAAAATTTACTGCTTGGCAGTCAGTTATAGTATTTAATCATGCTCTGAAAAGCAATATCACAGTATACTAATATATGAGATATCGAACATAAACACTTTAGATTTGCAGCCATGAGCTTCTGCTTTCACAATTACACCAAGCGCCGTGGTCATAATGTTATGCCTGATCGGTTTATACTTCCGTTTATTTTTGAAAGAACAGTTTAAAATAAGTTTCCTTTTCTGTAAATGTGCTCTCTGTCTGGTTGACTTGTTCAATACTGTGTAAGGTTCTCTTTGGTGTAATTTTAGGAGATGCAGAACAGTCCAGTCAGCAATCTGTGTCAGGTTTGTGAGATGCTCTTGTAGCACAGGGTAGCAGATCTCAGGTAGAGTAGGGGCGCTTACTTTTATTAAAGCCTCAGTCGCACTAGAAAATTTTCAGTTTGTGAAGTCGAGCCTGGACTGGAAGATCGACGACGATATGCTTTTCTGAGCATATTGTTAATATCAAAACATCGACAAACTGCTTGTTTCATTAACAATGGAGTATAATTAGGCCTTTTCCATTGGCTTTAGTGCACTGCAGTGTGTGAAATGTTAAGTAAAAGTCGTTGTACCCAGAGTTTATGGCCGTTTTCAAAGAAATGGTTGGTGAAAAATCAACTTTTCCCCGTTTTCCCCACTTACAACAGATGTAGTTGATCCGCCAAGACATGTTTGGAGTCCAGGTTTTGCTTCTGTAGTTTAAAACTGAACCAGTGAGGCTAACAAGCACTAGAACTCAATAGTCACCCAAATAGCTTTAATCATATCTGTGAAAATACATCCCTAAAACCTCTCTCAGCCTGCTCTCAAACCACTTCTAGGTCTTATTTAAGGCCGCGCAGGCTTGTCAGTGTGGTTTAGGACACTGTATAACTGCACTAGGGCAGGGCAGTATGAGTATCTTGATAAGTTGGGCCGCAGTGTGTCACAATGTGCCCTTCTGAGCATGTCGTTGGTATGGTTAGCATTCAGAACCACTTCTCAACAGTCTAAGGCTGCGTTTACACAGCGGGTAAAAGTGGCCCAAATCCAAATTTCCTCATATGTGACACAGGTGTGTGGCAGTGTGACCAGATAAACACACTGAATCTGACATTTTCAATTCCGATTTGAGACGCTTTCATATGTGGTACAGAAATCCGATACATATCCGATCTGCGGCAGTGCAGCTCAGTCTGAACAGCCAGATCGGAAATCATGCGACTAACGTCAATGCAACGTGACAGTCATCGTCATTTCACGCTGCTGAGACTCATTTAGGCTGATGTTTCTGTGCAAAACTTTAGAAGAGACTTATCAAAACCCTCCGTGTTCGAAGAGATTTAGAAAGAAATGCCGAACGCGGTCGTAGGAGAACGAGGCTGCAGCGTCAGAACTGTTTAAAGTCTGAAAGCAAAGTTTAAAGAATCCGAGGACGCAACCAAAGAAGTGACCGCGCCCTTTTTACATCGAGCTCAAACACATTTTGGGTGATGAGCCCAGCTGTCAGTCAGTGAAGCTTCATGATGGCTCCTGTGATGCTGGTGAAGATGAAGCTGATCCTCCAGGAGCGACTGGCGCTCGTTCATAGTCATAATTGTTTACCTCTGGATGAGCCGTGAAGCAGCGTGACGCTCTGTTCTTTTGTGTATGCGGGTCAGTTTAGGAGCTGATCTGTTCAGACTGATGTCTCATACAGATCACATTTAAAAGATAATCTGAACAGCCAAACAAAAAAATCAGATTTGATGAGAATCATATTTGGGCCACTTTTACCTGCGATGTGAGCGTAGCCTAATTCGTCCTGTTTAATTGGATTTAGTGCAGCACAGTGTGTGCAATGTGTCATAGTTTATGATAGTATTTTTAAAATCTTGCTTTGTCTTTTCTAATTGATAACGTCAGAAAATTTGTGTTTCGCCATATTGTGTATCGTGAAAACCTCTTAATATAGCATAGTATGTTTTTACCATGTCACCCAGCTCTATTGTGAACTATAAAAATGAACAAACCTGATATCACAACATCTTTTGTATTTGCAAACCACCTCAAGTTGGCGTGCTTGTCTAGAATCAGTATTTGTGACAATGACAGTCATAAAAAATATGGAGGAATCTGATCCAACATCATTCCTGCTTTGTGAGTATCAGCCCTGGTGTTGTCTGAAATGCCCTGTGAAGTTTTGTTTGTTTTTATAGCTCACAGTGGGTCACACAGTGATCCTAAACCACATCGACAGCCTGCGTGACCTTAATCAAGACCTGGAGCGGATTGTGAGGTTTTGCTGATGTATTTCAGAACCGAAACTGTTTGGGTGACTATTGGGTTGTAGTGTTTGTTAGCAACATTTAGCTCCAGCTCTTAAAAGAAGCAAACCTGACACCAGTCAAGGCTGATTGAGTATATCTGGGGTGTATGGAAAATTGGGTATGTTAGATTTTTCACTGAACTATTTCTTTAAAAGTGGCACTAAAGGGGTTTTGGGTCTTTGTCAGATTATTGTGATATGTCTCGTGAAAATGTCAGAGTATCGTGATGTGATATTTTTGCAACATCACCCACCTCTAACCTAAATCTGCAGACATAAGCACTTGACGTGCGCGTTACCAAGAAAGTCCTCAGGGTCGTAGGACTGTATTTCTGACTTGCATGTGATGACAAGTTCCAAATAAAAATAGAAAACGTTCTAGACAAGGAAACGAAGAATATCTTCTAATGTAGTAATACATAATTTAAGTTGAAATTTGCATATTTTAGTGGCAGTTTCAACAAAATGATTAACTGATTAACCCTCAACTGACCATGTAATTGGTTAAAAAAGTCAATGTAAGTTAATTTTTGACTGGTTCTATTTTAACACTCCTATTAGAATAGGTGGGTTTATCATTCAAGCTGAGGAACATTTTTAATTGCGCCCTTAAAGGCGCTGTAGGCAGGAAATTGTATGAGGAAATTGCAATGGCAATTCGAGAGCTACTCAGGCTGACCGAGCTAAAGCTGCCCCAGTTGTCATTTGTCCATTTTAACTTGTTCTAGTAGGGTAGAGCTGGTGATATGGCCAAAATGTAATATGATATTGTAAGATGTTTTCATGATACGTGACAGGTCACGTTATTTTTTTTCTGACATCTGGTAAATTGGAAAAGTCAGACATGTTAAAAAAACTACTCAATCCAATCAAACATGACTAATTATGCTTTTTTTTTGTAAGCAAACATGCAGTTGAGATTATATCGTAACATACCGTGATAAAATTTATCATGATAATGATGAATATTGTCCTATCGCCCAGCCCTAAAGTAGCGAGCGACAAGTAGAACTTTAGAATGTATGACTTTCAGTAGCTCATTATATATGTTCCAGTCATTTCATCAACTTCTCAGTTTTATTTGTGTAATATAATCGTGGAAATAGTATAGATTCAGCCCTTCAGTTTATACAGAACCAGGTTCTACATGATACGGACAAAAGTATTGGGACACACCGCCTAATCATTGAATTCAGGTGTTTCATTCAGTCTCATTGCCACAGGTGTATAAAATCAAGCCCTTGGCCATGCAGCCTGCCTTTACACACATCAGTGAAAGAATGGGTCTAAGAGCTCCCTGAGTTTGAGAGTGGTGCTATAAGAGGAGGCCACTGCTGCAACATGTCAGTTCGCGAAATTCCTTCCCTTCTATTGAGTGGTGTTATTGTGTTGTATTGTAATATGGTATTATTATAGGAACTACAGCAACTCAGCCACGAAGTGTAAAGTTACAGAGCGGGTCGCCGAGTGCTGAGGAGCATAGAGCATAAAAGTCACGAATGCTCTGCTGATCAATAACTGCACAGTTCAAGCCTCCTCTGGCATCAACATCAGCACTAAAACTGCACCGGGAGCTTCATGGCAGGGTTTCCATGGCCGAGCAGCTTGACTGGCCCTCACAGAGCCCTGACCTCAACCCTATCTAACACCTTTGGGATGAACTAGAACAGAGATTGTGAGCCAGACCCTCTCGTCCAACATCAGTGTTTGACCTCACAAATGCTCTTCTGGATGAATGGGCAGAAATTCCCACAGACTCTCTCCAACATCTTGTAGAAGCTTCCAAGAAGAGTGGAAGCTGTTACAGCTGCAAAGGGGGACCAACTCCATATTAATGCCTATGGATTTAGAAAGGGATGTCATAAAAGCTTGTGTAGGTGTCCCAATACTTTTGCCCATATAGTGTAGGTTTCAGGCTGTTTACTTTAAACACATGCTGATGCATGATTGTCTGTTAGTACTACGTTTCACACTCCAAACAAGGAAATATATAGTATTTAAAAAATCTTTTTGCTGAAACTCAAATGATTTAAAACTCAAATATTTCCTTAGAGATTTCACACAGAACATTCAACATAAAGAAAAACGTAGGGCGTAAGACGTGTGTCAGAGCTCATCTTTATTCTCTCCGGAAGTCTAATTCGTTCATGGTGGTGAATTCCACTGAAATGAATGTAATTTTGCTAGGAAATCTAGTGTGACTGGGCCTTAATGCTGAATTACACAATCTATACCTCAATATATCTGGAAAATGTCTTGCTATTCATTTTTACCAATACCTCCCATCCCTGGCTTGCTTTAACCTCAATTCCTCTCCTCATTATAGTGGAGATGCTCTTCCCAAGGTGCAATGCCCCAATCACCCTGAAGCCATACTGGTGGAGGACTACAGGGCAGGGGATATGATCTGTCCAGAATGTGGCCTGGTGGTAGGTAAGTACTCCAAATGGTCTTTCTTGTCAAGACCCAGCGTCGTTCTGCCCACAGTGTTCTCAGTGTTGTTGGATGTTGTCAACAGATCCATCACCAGGAGGTACGTTACCTAGCTCAGCGTTAGGAGCAGGGACCTCTTACAGCCTGTATTACTGTATAAACGGTCATCAGACGGTAACTTTAAGAGATAAAGTGTTCATCATTGCCTCACACGCACACAAACATATCACATTCAGCTTAAGGTAGACATTTTACAGTTTTAGGCTACGTTTACATTAAAATCTTCATTTTTTGCTCAGATCTGATCTCTAATGTGATGGTTCGCACTCGTTTAGGTAAAGCTGGGTGTACACAACACAATATTTTGCCCACTTTTAACCACAATATGCCCCTTGCAACACATTTTCACAATCTGAAGTGATTTTCTAGGTCAGGAGCAGGAAAATCTGTTAAAAAAAATAAAATAAAAATAATAAATTTTCTACATTGTCTAACTGCATTATGCACCTACTTCTCTGCCACGTATATATATATAAAAAAAATACTTTTAAGGCCAAAAACGTCTGATAAAACAATAACATTCTGTAAGGAAGCTTTTAGAGGTGGACTTATACTTCCTGTCACCACCTTTGTGAACTTGAATGGCGCATTTCACATTTTAACCATGCAGAATTTTTTAAAAAATTCCTGTAGTTGCCCTTAAAGAGGGGTTATACCATTTTATAAGGGGTTATTTCCATTCTGGTCTCTAAGATGGACAGATTGGCTGTGCTAAACGCAAGTCACTTACCTGTGTCAGGCACATGTGCACAAGCTCTCAGTCTATTTATTGTCTTTCCCCTCCACTCACACTTCCTCTCCATGCCAGGTGACCGTGTTATTGACGTCGGCTCAGAGTGGAGGACGTTCTCGAACGAGAAAGCCACCAAAGACCCTTCACGTGTTGGTGACGCTCAGAATCCTCTCCTGAATGGAGGAGATCTCACTACCATGATCAGCAAGGTAACCGGGCAGCCAACACAGTTAGGATGGTTAATTACGGAGTTATTAAGATGTGAATTCAGTAAAAATGCATACATTTGAATCAACATGAGCTGCATCAGTTTTGCGGTGCCAGTATAGATTATTATAGTATTCAATAAAGTGTTTTTATTTTGATAAATTATGGCACAATACACAAAATACAGACGGTACTTTAAAGAACACTATTATACTGTATTATAAAGAGAGCGTAGTTAGTCATGTTTAAATGGATTAAATTATCCGAATTGGAGATTTAAAGGGCAGATTATGTCTGGAAGTGTGTTTCATATGAGCTTTAGGTTAAAAAAAAAAAAAGTCAGAATTGAAATGGCCCATAAAAGTTCATTATCATTGCACCACTTCTAATAATCATACTATAGAGATTGTGTGTTGTAAATGTCTGGTATTGTAATGTTATATATTTTTAATTCAATCAATTAATTTACTATACATTTGCTATTTTGTGTATCCCAAGTATGCACCAATATTTTGGCCAAAATAAAATTAGGCTATTTTTTTTTTTAACTTAAAAAGTTTATTATAATGTCCATATTTCAAACACTTTATTAATAGTCATCTATTTCTAAATGTGGCATTAGTCGCATGCAGTTCAGCAAGTTTAAGTTTGCTTTTTTTTTCTGAGAAATCGCTGGAAACATGACTGTTTTACTCTGTGTACTATATGCAAACAGGGAACAGGAGCCGCGAGCTTCGATGAGTTCGGCAACTCCAAGTACCAGAACCGTAGAACCATGAGCAGCTCTGACAGAGCCATGCTGAACGCCTTCAAAGAGATCACCACCATGGCCGACCGGATCAACTTGCCTAGGAACATCGTAGTAAGTGTCCCTCTGCTGCTCAGGTGTAGATGGTGCGTTATGACTAATATCCCTCGTCACATTTGGGCGAAGTAGATCACGGCCTTGATGTCGTTCATGATGACGCACAACCCTAAAGGCCACCATGCGCTAAACGTGCTGCATTGCACACCTAAAAATTAGAAACCATTGGTTTTAATGAAGGGGCGCCCCCCGGCGCTAACACTGTTCAGTTTCTCAGCTCATCACAGCACGCCGTTCAGCATTATGCCATAAAATTACATCACATTAAATTACACTACATTTAATTAAGCCATATGAAAACCATAGTTCACATGTGCCTTGAAATTTACTCAGAAAAATGCAATCAAAACAGCAAGTTTTGAAGAGGTTGTAAACTGATGTAAAGCATAATAAATTATGTTTTATTTTAATAAATTTATGAGTAGAGTGTAAAATTGAACTTGACATTTCTAAAGCAGTGTTTCTCAGCCCTGGCTCAGGAGCCCAGTGCCCTGTACATTTCAGGATTTTCCTTGCTCAAACACACCACCATCAACTCCGTAAGAGTCTGTTAATGAGCTGATGAGTTGGATCTGCGGTGTTGGGAGCAGGAGAACACTAACAAGTGCAGGGCAGAGGCCCTCTCAGGGTTGAGAAACACTGTTTACATGCACTTAATAATCCGATAACTGCAGAAAATCAGATTTTGTCAGTAATCTGATTAACACGTTTGCATGCACTTGAGTAATCAGATAATGGGGAAACTCTGGGTCTACATGAGTCAGGTAGTAATCGGATTTCTGCTTTACAACCAGCCAATAAACTCACAGAAGAAGACGTGATGTGAGCGTAATGTAAAACTCAAACTTCATGACGCGGCTTTTTTCAAAACATTGTCACTTTACCTCAGAATATGAACAAACATCGTCTAGAAGATGAATATTTAAATCGTTAATTTCGTCAAAGCATGTATTTGATTTCAGCTTCGTTTCAAAAGTGTTTTGCTGCGTCTCGCGGCGACGCTGCTCGCTTTTTTCCGGTACCGCCGTCTGTTTTCACACATGCGCCGACTGAGAAATCTGAAAGAAATCAGAGTAAGAATTTACATGCACTGAGAAATCTGATTACTGAGCTAAAATCCAGCCTCTTAATCAGATGACCCCTTGAATAATCGAATAACTGCAGAAATCAGATTATGATCGGTGACGCCTCTGATGTGTGGTGGCATTAAGTGTTCAACAGCTTTTGATACAACAGTTTTGCAAAGTAAAGAAGGTAAAGCTAAGAAGCCCTGAACATGGTTTTAAACATGTTTAAGGGCAGTTTCACCAAAAAATAAAATAAATAAATATATATATATATATAGTTCCAGCAGCTTGGAGTAAAGCGACCACTGTTTAGCAACTGGTGGTGAGCAGAGTGATAACACAGGTCGAGTCCTGTCTGCCACAGAGTTGAAAAGTTTTTAACTTTTATGGTCACAAAGCAAGAGTCGCGCTGCCATCAGCCAATTAAACTGCAGGTTTTGCTGAGGTAGAGAAATCCTGGCAGTGGCAGAGCTTCTTGCAAGTGTTGGTTATTAATGTTTGTCTCTTAAGTTGATGGCTCTCTGCTTTCAACATCTGTTTGTATTCTTGTTTTCACTTATTTTTACTCTTTCTGTCACTTGCCATGTGAAACCCCTCTGATGCCGATTAACATGGCTTTTAAAGGCGTATTTTAGTCTTTCTAAACAAACGTTTATTTTCTTGATTATTTCAGGTCAGAGTGTTTCAGGAGGTTCATGCAGGCTTATGTTTTGGAAACATTTTGAGATGTCTGTTTTCACAGAACATGAACAGAAGTAACTGTAGAAAACCCACTTCAACGCCAAAGATTTAAGGCTTTTTCATTGCTATAACTGACCAAGACCACAAATCTTTCACAGCCGGAGTGAAACTGTTTAGCCCAGTGGACTGAAACTGTTCAGTTAGAAATGGGGAAGTAGCGTGACGCTGTCACAGCTGGGCTGGTGGTGTGAAAGCACAGCTCTGTACATCTGTGTCTGAACATATAAATAAATAGGGAAGTCACAGAGAGTCTATCATAACATTTTCAGTTACTTTAAAGCTTTTTCCATTTAACACGTTTCTTTGTACGTCCTCCAGGATCGCACAAATAACTTATTTAAGCAAGTTTATGAGCAGAAGAGCCTTAAGGGCAGGAGTAATGATGCCATCGCCTCAGCCTGCCTGTACATCGCCTGCAGACAGGAGGGAGTCCCCAGAACATTTAAAGGTGAGTCTTTATGCATGAAAAATCTGCAGTGCTTTTTATTTAAAGAAGCCTGAAGAGCCGTGTGCTATTCTAGACACAATTTGGGTTGCAAATCTGCATCAGTTTTAGAGTATGGGAGTTTATAATGGTCAATTGCAGCAATTTTTTTGGCTGTAAATCTTTAGGATGTTTTTAAATGTGAAAAAATCAAATGCTGGATCAAATGGTTTATTTTTCCAGTGCTAAGAAAAGCTTGCTTGTGTTGTTTTCGTTAGTGATGCACCGAAATGAAAATTCTTGGCTGAAACTGAAATTCAGGACTCGCTCAGCCGAAAACCGGAAAAAGCAGACATGTAAAAATAAGTCAGTAAATAACAGCTTACACAAAAGTAACTTAGCATAATGATTACAGTGTGTAGCTACAGTGCCACAACAGTGGATTCAAGATGGTGAATTCCATTGTTTTTATTTGTATTTTGCACTTTGACTGTCTGTATTCTTCATATTGAGCGGGTGGCTTTTTTTTTTGGTATCAAGCCTGTAGTGAAGTTCTTGTTTTCCTCACAGAAATCTTGAATTAGTTCCACGTGGCCGATAGTTTTACTGTTGCTAATTTTATTTACTATTAAATTTTGTTTTATTATATTATAATTTTATTATCTTAGGCCCAATCCCATTTCACCCCTCGCCCCTACCACTTAGCCCTACCCATCAGTTTTGCATGTTCATGTCTAGGGTGTCCTGATTCTTGTTGAGATAGAGGGGTAGGGTGAAGTGTTGGGGCTACATGACCCTCCAAGCGGAGGTTTTTCAGAGACTCCAAACAGAGAGTTATGAGAAAAAAAGAAAAACGGGCAAGACGGCTGAACAAGAGACCAAAGAAACCCACAAATGTGAGAATTTCCTCCATTAAAGATTACGATAACCACTGTTATCTTAGTTTAATGTCGTTTCAGTGTATTATGGTCTTTTTCCTCATAACAAGCATAAAAAATCGCTAGTAGTGCTGATGTCTCAGAAGCTAGCTAGCTAAATCTTACTGTTCCACCTTAAATAGTCCAGCAGTTCTGACGCCTGATGCACCAGAATGTAACTGGTACTCTATTTAAGGTGGAACATAAAAATTCGAACAAGAAGCTGGCAAATAGCTGACTTCACCTTTATTTAATTGAAGAATTAGGGGTGGGCGATAATAAGTCATTGCCCCCCTCTTTGAAGTCATATGATTTCCTAAATGTAACTAAAGCCCAGCAGTGAGGAGCTGAACTTCACCCTCCTCTGCTATCACTGCAGACTGGCAGGGTCGCCTACAGAGAACACTCAGAAACAAGGGGTAGGGGTAAAAATAAGAAATGGGACTGGGCCTTAGATGTTGCCTTTTCACTTTGGTCCACTTGAGTTATTTCATCAACAAATTTTTGGTCCCTAGTTTTTACTGTGTGTTTCACTGCTGTATAAATTGTTCCTCCTGTCACATTTGTGTGCTCAGTGCACTTTCAAGTACTTAAACCAAATCGTGGGAAAATCTGAGATTTAATGATTATTTCAATCATTCCCTTACTGAATCGCATCAAATCATGAGGTCAGGGATTTACACATCATGTTGATTTATCTGTAATCTTATCCTTTCACCTTTAACAGAGATCTGTGCCGTGTCCCGGATTTCGAAAAAGGAGATCGGCCGATGCTTTAAGCTCATCCTGAAGGCTCTGGAGACGAGCGTGGATCTGATAACCACAGGAGACTTCATGTCCCGCTTCTGCTCCAACCTGGGCCTGCCCAAACAGGTTCAGATGGCTGCCACCTTCATCGCTCGGAAGGCGGTGGAGCTGGACCTGGTCCCGGGCCGCAGCCCCATCTCTGTGGCAGCAGCCGCCATTTACATGGCCTCTCAGGCCTCAGCCGAGAAAAAGACGCAGAAAGGTAAGTGGCACAGCAAACAACAGCCAGTGAAGCTGTGGTTCTGTCCTACAGGGTTTACTGGAACAGGTGTGGCAGGAGTGACTGATGCATTTGTTCTGAGCTGATGCTTCTTTTGATGCAAAGCTGAGTAGCTGGATGTTTTCTGAGTCAGGCAGAAACTTCTGTTGGGTGTGTCGATTTATTTGAGTGAGTTATCATGACTTGCTTTAAAGTAGAAGTTTTAAGTGTTGCTTTATACATATTTTTCATCATACTAAGCTCAAGAAATTCATTTGTACACTCTTAAAGATCTTTGTTCAGGGGTTCCTTAGTAAAGACACTGGTTCTGTATGGAACCATGAACACTCAGTGAACCATTTGCATGCTTAAAAGGTTCTTTGCATGGTAAAATGGTTCTTCAGATTAATGGCGAATGTGTTGTACATAGTTCTATATAGAACCTTTTGGAAAATGGTTCTAAATAGCACAAAAAAAGGGTTCTTCTCTTAAGTTGTCTGTGTTTACATGCAAACTTTGTTAGCCCCCTTTTACCCTGTTCTTCAGTGGTCAGGACCCCCATGGACCCTCACAGAGCAGGTGCTATTTGGGTGGTGGATCATTCTCAGCACTGCAGTGACACTGATGTGGTGGTGGTGTGTTAGTGTGTGTTGTGCTGGTGCAAGTGGATCAGACACAGCAGTGCTGCTGGAGTTTTTAAACACTGTGTCCACTCACTGTCCACTCTATTAGACACTCCTACCTTGTCAGTCCACCTTGTAGTCATCCTCTAGTCCTTCATCGGTGGTCACAGGACGCTGTTGGCTGGATATTTTTGGTTGGTGGACTATTCTCAGTCCAGCAGTGACACTGAGCACTGCTGTGTCTGATCCACTCAGACCAGCGCAACACACACTAACACACCACCACCACGTCAGTGTTACTGCAGTGCTGAGAATGATCCACCACCCAAATAGTACCTGCTCTGTGAGGGTCCATGGGGGTCCTGACCACTGAAGAACAGGGTAAAAGGGGGCTAACAAAGTATCAAAGAAACAGATGGACTACAGTCTGTAACTGTAGAACTACAAAGTGCTCCTATATAGTAAGTGGAGCTGATAAAATGGACAATGAGCGTAGAAACAAGGAGGGGATCATAATGTTATGCCTGACCGGTGTATTTCAGTATCTCAGCAATTAAATTATGCAGAAATTTTTAGTCTATTTATTTATTTATTTTTTGTACAGAAATTGGAGATATCGCAGGTGTGGCTGATGTGACCATCCGTCAGTCGTACAGACTGATCTACCCTCGAGCCGCCGACCTCTTCCCTCCAGACTTCAAATTCGACACACCGGTGGACAAACTGCCTCAGCTGTGAAACATCCACACACACCTACTGCTCTTTCTACTAGGATGATGTTCTTTTTTCTTATTGGGTTGAAAAGGTTTGCTCTTCCCCTGAGGTGACATTAAGCCTTTTGGAAAGGCGCTGAGCAGGGATTTAACAAAGTACAGCAGACACATTCCAAGGTTTAACGCAGATTGCAGACTGTACTTAACCGAATTTCATCCGAGTGTATATATTTTGTATATATGTCCAAGTGAGGATTTAATTGGTGGTTGCAACTAAGCGGATTTCTTACTGTAAACATTTTCTTTTGTAGGAAATGAGTGAGTTATTTTGTTAGCGTGTTTGCATTATATTTAGTAATTTAAACAATAAATGCTTTTCAAAAAAGCATGTTGGATATCTCATGAATTTGAAAAAAAATGTTAAGTTGTTAAAAAATAATGTGGCAAAGCATTTGAATCAGTTGATTATGTATCTGTATCACGTGAATGGCATTTAAACATCATTATTTCCCCTTGGAACAGGAGTTTGTGTGTTTCTGTTCCAACCTTTGCAGCTCAGCCGAGTGTATATGTTACTATTTAACCACAGTGCTGGGCAAAAGTCCGAGACCATCCCTTTGTTTATTTAATTTCCAGTAAAAACAGCCATTAAATACAAGTTATTCATTTTTCAGGAGATTTCTGAGATCATAAGATAATCCACTTGTATGAGGAAGGAGGAAGTCAAAGGAAAATGAGTTTCCAAAACAGGAGTTTAAACAATGATTAAAAGCTACAGAGAAAATGGGTACTCCTAACAACCACCTGGAAGACCTGTTAGACACCAAAACTGCCCCCATCAGATAAACAGCACTTAAAGCTTTCATCTTTGAGAGAGAGGAGAAAATCAAGCTGCTTCAGATCTGAAAACATCCACAGGTGTTTCTGTCCATCCTTCCACTGTGAGAAGACGACTCAGCGCTGTGGGTCTGAAAGGATGTGTAGCTGATCAAGAAGAACCTCACTGAGAAAAGGAGACGGACACATCAAACAAAGAAGCTGAACGACGGACTGACCACCCCAGAGTCCAGACCACAACATCACTGAATGTGTTTGATTACTTCAGAAAATGATCAACCAGCTTCTAAGACTGAACTTGGAGGTGTGTCTGCAGATTCTTTGAGGAACTGAAAGTGAGTCTCCTGAAGAGAAGCTGGAATAAAGGGGAAGAGTGACTCACTGACACTGAAACAGCTGATGTATTCGGTTTTGAGGCTTTGTTGTTTTCTGCCTTTATCTGAGTGCTGAAAAATGAGGAACTTGAAGGGTGGTGTCTGGCTGTTGCACAGTACTGTTGATTTAATGTCCCTTTATGAGTGTCGACAAAACCACTACAAGGGTGTAAGTTTCATATATCCAATTCATTTGAGTCTTTAGGAAAGATTTGGTGTGTTACGACATTTAAAGTCTCTCCAAACTCAATTAGATTCTATTTTTAATATGATTAAGAATTATCTTTAAAAATACAAAAATAGTATTGGGTGAAATAGTAGTGGAATATGTACATAAATAATAGTCCATGCTTATATACTTGAAAACATTCTGAGAACTGTATTGTGGATCAGACACAGCAGAGCTGGAGTTCTTAAGCACCTCAGTGTCACTGCTGGACAGAGAACCAAAAACATCCAGCCAACAGCGTCCGGTGGGCAGCGTCCTGTGACCACTGATGAAGGACTAGAGGAAGACCAACACAAACTGTGCAGCAGCAGATGAGCTATCGTCTCTGACTTTACATCTACAAGGAGGACTGACAAGGTAGGAGTGTCGAATAGAGTGGACAGTGAGTGGACACAGTGTTTAAAAACTCCAGCTGCACTGCTGTGTCTGATCCACTCAGACCAGCACAACACACACTAACACACCACCACCACGTCAGTGTTACTACAGTGCTGAGAATGATCCACCACCCAAATAGTACCTGCTCTGTGAGGGTCCATGGGGGTCCTGACCACTGAAGAACAGGGTAACAAAGTATGCAGAGAAACTACAGTCTGTAACTGTAGAACTACAAAGTGCTCCTATATGGTAAGTGGAGCTACAAGGAACACTATATGGCCAAAAGATGGATGAATCTGGGTTTGGTGGGTGCCAGGAGAACACTGCCTACCTAAGTTTGGTGTCTCTTACAACACCAAAGGGGGGCTGACTCCATATTAATGTCCCTGGTTTTGGAATGAAATGTCCAATAAGCTCACATAGGTGTGACAGTCAGGCGTCCACATACTTTTAGCCATATAGGTTATATTTAATTGAATATTATTCATGATTTTCTAACTCCAAAGCTGCAGTTGAATCACCACCTTCGCATTGATTTTACACCTCCAAATAAAGACAAAACAAACAATGTTATATAACAAACAGTTTACTTTTGCATTCATGATGGTCATCAATCATAGCAAAGTATTTTTTTCTTATTTACAACATTATAGTGTTGAAACTCAAGGCAGTGTGCTAATGAAAACAGCTACAGGCTGCTTTATAACATGCTCAGCCAAGTAGGAAAGGAGTACGAGCCTTTTGTACAGTCCATTTTCACAATTAAGATAAAAAACATAATTTAAAAAAGACTAATGACAAAACAAGTGCTTCCAGCTTCCGTGGTATTTACATGTGGTGGCCTACATAAACCCTAAACTCAACCCTACATCTCCCTCTGGGATTAACGAACAGACCAAGACTGGCTACAGACGGGCACTTCAACAGAAACTAAAGCTTCCTCGAGAGTGCTGTCCATCTAGAACTGTAGAAAAATGCACTGCTACCTCTTAACTGAACCGCTGATGGTTCAGCTGTGCAGGTTTTTTAAAGGGCTACTTAAACATTTTTCATCCTAATCTCATGTTTCCTACAGTCTCTCATACTTTCTGTACTTAGCAAATGAACAGAAAACCTGTTGCCTCAAAACACTTATAATGGAAGCCAGTGGGCTGATGCTGCAACAAGTGACCCTTACCTTTCCCACAACGGGGAAATTTCACCTCCGCATTTTGACCCATCTGTGCAGTGAAACGCCATAGACACACTAGTGAACATACATTAAGGGGCAGTGAGCACACTTGCCCAGAGTAGTGGGCAGTGCCTGGGGAGCAGTTGGGGGTTAGGTGTCTTGCTCAAGGGCACTTCAGTGACACACTGTCGGCTCAGGGGATCGAACCAGCGACCTTCTGGTCACAGGGCTGGTTCCCTAACCTCCAGCCCACAACTGCCTATTGGCTCATCATTATTACTGTATCTGGGTCAGTAGGTTTTCTGATCTATTACCATGTACAGAAAAACATGTTTTTACAGGAAACATGAAAGATTATGATGAAAAACTGAACTTTCCTTAAAGGGATCATGAATTCGTTCACATACATTCTATTCTAATTTACATATCGCTGCTGTCGGAGCAAAACATCGTATATCCATTTTGGTTTTTCTGTTTTTGACATAATTTGAAAATGCCTGTTGCCCTTTACACTGTGTGTAAATTTCATGATGAATGGACCAAAAGAAACGACCCAAAATGACTTGGAAAAAATTCTGGTTCCATTGACTTACATTAAAAGTAAAGTATGTTTTTTCTTTCTCCTGTCAAGTTATCATTTTGGAGATTTGAGGTTTTCTTCCGACAGCAGCGATAAACATATAAACATTCTGATAATGGTTCTTGCTCATTTTTTTCTGGGGTGGGTGGTGGGGGGGTACAGTCTGTTATACTTTATCCCATTGAAACGGATCACAGCATGAGATCATATGCTGGGTTTTGGGTTAGGAGCATCTTCAGGCCCTTGAACATCTCCTCAATATAGTCGGCTTTATCAGAATAAAAACAACTCAATCACTCAAGCGTAGTAACATCAGGTTTTTGGTCAAGTGGATCGATGCTGATCTGTAACTACGGCTGTTTTTTTCCTCTATAAGACTTTCAGACTTACAGAAAAGCTTTACAATAATACTTTACATGAAGAGACAGTACGTTATGTTTTGTAACATGCTGCTACATTAAAAAAATACATAATGAACTTTTTAATGAACTGAATCTGAGTGTCTTCACTTCTCATTAAAACCTGACATGAAATGATTAATGGATCAGAAAACTTGGCTGTGATCCGAAGTACAAACTTGATACCAGCTGTAACTGGAGCTGCAGTTGGTGAACGTAGGCCGTTTTGGGAAAAGACATCAGATATATGATAAGTAAGCATAATAACAGCCTTTTGGATCGGGATTATGGGTTTTCTCTCAGAAAAAGCATGTTAGTTTTTTAAATACTGCGGTGTAGTGTACCAGTCGTTGTTTTATACATGCACTCACTGAACGCTTTATTAGGAACACCAGGCTAATACAGGGTAGGGCCTCCCTTTGCTCTCAAAACAGCCTCAATTCTTCATGGCATGGATTCCACAGGATGGTGGAAACATTCCTTTGCGGTTTGGTCCATGTTATGATGGCATCTTGTAATTCCTGCAGATTTTCAGGTGCATTTCAAAGCTGCGTCCTTCCACCTCCCAAAGGTGTTCTACTGGGTTCGGACCCAGTGACTGGGAAGGCCACTGAAGAATCCTGAACTCATTATGTTCATAACAGCAGTTTGAGCTACTTTTGCTTTGTGACATGGTGCATTATCATGCCTGAAGCAGCCATTAGGAAATGGTAAACTGTGGCCATGAAGGGATGGTCATGGTCAGCAACAAGACTTAAACAGGCTGTGGCATTCAAGCAATGATTTATTGGTATTAACAGGCCCAAAGTGTGCCAAGAAAACATTCCCCACACCATTACACCACCTCCACCAGCCTGGACTGCTGACACACGGCAGATTGGGTCCATGGACTCATGCTGTTGATACCAAATTCTGACCCGGCCATCTGTGCACCTCAGATGAAACAGAGATTCATCAGACTAGGCTGACTTTCCAGTCTTCAGGTGTCCAGTTTTGAGCCTGTGTCCACTACAGCCTCAGCTTTCTGTTCTAGGCTGACAGAACCCAACATGGTCTTCTGCTGTTGTAGCCCATCCGCCTCACGGTTTAAAGTCTTGTGCATTCGGAGATTCTTTTCTGCTCAGCACAATTGTACAGAGTGGTTATCTGAGTTACCATAGCCTTTTGGCCAGATCGAACCAGTCTAGCCATTCTCCACTGACCTCTCTCCTTAGCAAGGCATTTCCGTCCGCAGATCTTCTGCTCACTGGATGTTTATTGCACCATTCTGAGTGAACTCCTAGTAAACTTGTGCATAAAAATCCCTGGAGATCAGCAGTTACAGAAATACTCAAACCTGCCTGTCTGGCAGCAACAGTCATGCCTCAGTCAAAGTCGCTGAGATCACATTTTTCCCCCATTCTGATGGTTGATATTTAACATTATGATGGCTGATGGTTGAACATTACCTGAAGCTGATTTTATGCACTGCACTGCAGCGACAAATGGCAATTTTAATAATTACATCGATGTACAGGTGTCCCTAATAAAGTGCCTGGTGAGTGTGAGTGTG